GGGGGCGCCGAGCCGAGGGCGAGCCCGCGGCGGACAGCGAGCTGGGGCGCCACCACATCGGGTACGAGATCTTCGCCGACTTCAAGCAGGGCAACATGCAGCACTTCTGGAACAAGAAGGTGACGGCCGCCGTGGCCGAGACCTTCTTCCTGGGCTGGATCGACGAGCAGGTGCTGCTGATCCAGGGCAAGGAGGAGCACCTGGAAGTGCTGCGCGAGGGCTGGATGCGCAGGTCCCTCAAGCCCCCCGCCGGCTTCCAGATCAAGTGCCTGGGTAAGAGCGCGCCGAGCCGGAGGCGGCGCGGGACAAGCCGGGGCAGGACGGGGGGAGCAGCTGCGTCCCCGCGGAGAGGCGGGGGAGGCGCCCGCGCGCCTCCCTGCGCCGTGGGCGCCAACGTTTTCCCCCGCAGTGGGAGGAAAGAGTCGCGCTCCTTCGTGGCCGGCGGGGGGGGAGGGGCTGTGGCTCCGGCCGGTTTTGCCACGCCCAGCGGGGGTTTTTCCTCCTCGTCCTTGCGGCCCCCCCCCCCCCCCAGTGGACGCTTCTCGTGGGGACGGCGGTGCCCGGACGTGCGGTGCTGTACGCGCGCACTTCGTGGTCCAAAGGCAACTGTAGCAGTTGCAACTTTCCACGTCTTAGCCATGAAATTAACCCAAACTGGAAATACTCTCTCTCGCACTTTTTTTTCCTTACCAACATCTGCAGGAAGTATAACTAAAGACAGGTTCGGCAGGTAATATAAGGAAAAAGAATGTCTCTTAACCCTTTGCTTGTCAAACTTGTCTTCAGCCATCCCTTTAATCTTGACTTATTGGCGGTGGACGTTTGCCTGAGTGGTTGCCAAATTAGACACACCCGTTTATTTCCTTGGTGGCCTCTGTTTTCTTTCAACCACCTGCATCAGAAGCTAGGGGGGAAAGCTGGCTTCTACATTAGAAGAATCTGGCACAGTAACAATTGCATCCTTAGCTTGTGTTTGCAAATGTAGATTTGAAGCTTGGTACCTGAGTGGCATCTGGGTTTGGAACACATTCACCTTTGTAGAAACTTCAGTGTTTCATCTTTGTTAACAAGGTAATTGCAAGAGTTCTCTGCAATCCCTATTTATAAAAGGTCAATTTGTATATGAGGCCTGTAAGCAGCTTTCTCAGATTATTCCAGAAAATGTTGTATTTTTTGCTGCTAGTTAAAAAAAAAAAAAAAATGTTAAAGCTATTTTTGTGTTATTTGGTAATTTTTTTAGCATGGTATCTGCATTATGATATAATTCCGGGGGCCGTAGGCAAGAAGATTGAGAAGGTGGGAAAATATCTTGGAAGAAGACTTTAGCAAACCACTTGGATTATTGCCAAGAAAAGCGCACGGATGTGTCCATGTAATTCTCAGGAGTTGAGCTCAGATAAGACTTTTATCTTTTTTATCTTGTCTAGCGTGCTGTTTTATGAGAGAAACAGAATAAATGGCTGAGTATTTTGATTAAAAAGTGCTAGCAGTCACGGGACATTTTTGCATTGAATAGGTTTGAGGCTAGAGTCTGGTGTAAATAATCCTGACTTGCAGAAGTTTGCACCTCTGAATAGATTTTTTAGGATTGCATTGTGAATAGAACAAAGACTATGATTCCCCCCCCCCAAATTATTAAATAATTGATATAGAAATAACTGCACAGATTTATTTTTGGCTGCTTATAACTTTCATTCGGATTGTTATGCCTAACGGCATATTATTATTTGAGTTTCACTAATTAGTCAAAGCAGTGATATTGAATTAATAATAAAAATCTTGGTTCACCTCTTTGGGATGTAGGTAACATACTTTTTGTTAGGTTAGCTATTGATCAGTTGATATTGCAGCATTGGGAAGATAAATGTATGGCCCCTTTTACTCAATGGATTGAAAATCTGATTGCGCTTGTCACCTGTGAGCGGATTGCCTATAGACTTAGACTTTGTATGGACAAGTATAATGAAATATGGGACTCATTTATACAAAATACAGTCAGTTAGAAAAACATGATACTTATATAAGTATATTAGAAATATATACATATTTGAATAATATTTGTATTAGATAAGTATATATAGAATTGTAACTTTTGTTAAAATGATATATCATACTATATTTTCTTCTTTTCCTTTTTTTATTTTTTTTAAAAAAGCGTTGTCTATGTGGGTTTTTTTGTTTTCTTTGACAATGTATGTATTTCTGTTATAATTATCTTTGTGTTTTGTTCTTTTTCCTTTTCTTTTTTTGTCATTTTAAAAGCAGTAATTTTTTTTTTAACAAGTTAGCTATTGATCAGTAGGAGGCACTACAGGTAGTCCTTGCTTAATGACCCTAATTGGGACTGGCAGCTCTGCCGCTAAGCAAAGTGGTCATTAAGTGGGAAATCACGACTGTGTTTTCCGGCTGGAAAGAGACAAGACTAGTCAGTTCCACATCTTTGCCTATTGTTTGCCTCCTAATTGCTCCCCTACCCTTTGAATGCTCCATTGCCTGCTTATTGTCTTGTATACATCAAAAGCAATGTGATCGTGCCACAGCCCAGGGACTGGGAGCCATGGGGATACTATGCGAACAGCTTACTCTCTAGAAGAGAATATGTGTAGCTCAGGGTTGAACTGTGGAGTCCTTGGGGTTCTCTGAGCTTGGTTGTTTTCTTGCAAAGTTTCGTTACCTAGCTAGGTAACATCTTCAATGCTAGAATGGAATGGGTTTGCTCTCTGTTTATATACCATATAAACAGTGTATATAAACAGCATATATATAGCTCAGGGTTGAACTGTGGAGTCCTTGGGGTTCTCTGAGCTTGGTTGTTTTCTTGCAAAGTTTCGTTACCTAGCTAGGTAACATCTTCAATGCTAGAATGGAATGGGTTTGCTCTCTGTTTATATACCATATAAACAGTGTATATAAACAGTATATATACAGAGTATAAACAGAGAGCAAACCCCATTCCATTCTAGCACTAAAGAGGTTACCTAGCCGGGTAACAAACATTTGCAAGAAACCAACCAAGCTCTGAGAACCCCAAAGACTCCACAGCTTACTCTCTTGAAATCCCTTCCTCTTCAATCTTTCTGCTCAGTGGGATGTTGGGGGGAAGGAAAAAAGCAAGCTATTTCTGTAGGCAATCTCTCCTTTGCCTGACCCTTTCCCGCTGCCAGTGCAATTGCATTTTATTTATTTATTTATCAAATTTTTCACTGCCTATCTCGTTGAAACAACTCGCATTGCTTTTGATGTGTAGAAGAGTAAATTTTCTCTTGAAATCCCTCTCCAATTTCTCTGCTTTGCAGGGGACGGAGGGTCAGGCAAAGGAGAGATTGTCTACAGACATCACTTGTTCCCCCCCCCCCTCGCAGAGCAGAGAGATCAGGGAGAAAGAGATTTCAAGAGAGTACTGTAAGTTGTTTGCGCAGTGTGCCATGACTCCCAGCCCTGGGCTGCTGGCATGATCACATTGCTTTCAATGTGTAGAAGAGCAAACAGCTTACTCCCTTGCAATCCCTTCCTCTCCAATCTCTCTGCTCTGCAAGGGGGGAAAAAAGGAAAAAACACAGGTCAGGCACTGGACAGTACGCACTATAATGGTGATCACATAACTCAGAGATGCTGCGCAGGTTGCAAATGAGCTGTAAAGTTATTTTTTCAGCACCGTTGTAACTTTGAATGGTCAGTGAGGACTACCTGTGCACAACATCTCTCTTTCTCTCTCTCTCATTATCTCTTCTTTTGGTACCTTTGAATCAGTGTTAACTCCTGGAGACTGCCTGGACAAGTCCCTGCAGTTTTCTTAGCAAGATTTCAGAAGTAGTTTGCCCTTGCCTTCTTCCTAGGGCTGGGGGGAATGACTGGCCCAAGATAACCCAGCTAGCTTTCCTGGTTTCTAGCTTGATGGCTTAACCACTACACCAAGGTGATTCTGACACAACTTCTAGAACACAACAATAGAATGTCTAATATGCAGGATACCTCCTGGACTCCCGATAAGGATGAAACCAGTCATGTAGTGCCTCCTACTGGTCAGTAGCTAATATAACATTTAAAGCTATATAAGGGGAAGCAGTCTTGAGGCCCCTAGTATGAGGCCCAGACTAAAAAAAATACAAAACACTTTCTAATATGAGAGCATATAGAAAAAAGGAAACGGTACTGCAATAGCTTCTCTAACCTACTTTTAAAAATCTATCATAAACATTTACCCAGCATTGCCATCTTGATCTGGATTCATCAGGACATTTCTCCCAATAGTCTATAATTAGTTTATTGTCATTTTTTATCACCATAAAAATACTATTTGATAAGGGCAGAAATTGTGTTCCAGGTAGTCCTCACTTAATGACTGTTTAACAACAGTTTGAAGTTATGATGGCCTTGAAAAAGCACTTTATGACCTGTACTTGCATTTATGACCATCACAAATTGCCACATCATCCCACGGTCATGTGATCACAATTTGTGGCCTTTTTTATGATGGTCGTAAAGCAAATCATGGTGGTCATTAAGTGAATCATATGGTTAAACGAATCACATGGTGATTAAACTCCAAATTCCAGCAAAAAAATCCATTGGGGAAGCTGGATTCGCTTAATGACTGTGGTGACTCGCTTTACGACCACTGTAAAATGGTTGTAAAATTAGGTCCAGTCATGTAGTGACTCGCTTAACAACCACCTTGCTTAATGACCAATTTTCCAGTCCCTATTGTGGTTGTTAAGCAAGGAATACCTGTATGCTATACCTAGATTGTCCTCTTATCTCATTGCTCTTATTAAAGGTTTTGATATTCACATTTCTAGAAGCTCTATGTGTTGTATGCTTTGAGTATAAAATTAATTGAAAAATATATTTTAAACCTTTATTATTGCTACAAAACGTTTCTGCTTATATTTAAAAGAATTGTGCACTGCTATATGTGTGTGTGTGTGTTTCACTGAAATTTTATTGTGTTTCAGCTATGAAGACATGGCTGTATGAAATAATTGGATGTCTTTTTAGTGTAAGGAACAGACTGTGAATTTTAAACTTAAGGAAATATCAGTAGAGAACTAGTCATAGGCTCAAAGACTTTGGCTAAATCCGTTAGTCAGCAATTGTTACTTGTAGCCAATAGTTTTCTTTTGACTTCTGACTTCACAGAAGCATGGTGTCTACTTTTTTATACTTAACTAGGGAACTTTATAGCAAGTGTTGTTAGCAGTTCTCTAATCCATGTCACTAAATGCAGGAACATTACTTATTTCATCTTCCTCTATAGCTGAGATAAATATACACATACAGACACACCTCTTGTGACTTTTTCTGGCTCTTGGAGTTAGATTTCTGATTGGCCCTCTGCCACCTGCATTGTACAATGGTGATTGGTCTTATAATGACCTTTCCAATATGGAGGTCAGGCAATAAAAAATCCATATGCAGATCTACAGACAGAACAAATTCCTTTGTACCAAGTCATGTTATGTAGAATTGTCTTTGAATGGTTGAGACTCTTTGGAAGCTCAGCTCTGCCTTTAAGTTGAATTTGATTCTTTTAATGGGAGATGCCAAGGATTCAGCGGTTACATATGCAGCGCACTCTGTTTCTCTGAGATACACCGCTTCTCTTTAGCCTGTCACAAAACCATCAGATAGTTGTTCTTTATTAGTAAAGGATCCTATTTCCTTCATTACAGTTCAATATTCGGAATACTTATTTTAGACTTGTAAATGGAGTCATGTCAAATATCCTGTGTAAAATACTAACAAAGGAATTGTTCTGTTTCTTTATTTTTGGAAGGCATTGCCTTTTATCACTGTGGTATTCCTAGATAATATTTTTTGTTTGAAATAAATTTTGCCTGAAAGTCTCCTTGAATTTATTTTGTAATGAAAAACAAAATACACATTTGTGAAGTATATATTTTAAAATACTAGTTGTGGTGTAGATTGAGGTTAAAAAATTCATGTCTCTCGAACTATTTATAGCTCTGCATAGTTTTAACTTTTTAAATCTTTTTTTTATTCTACATTATCTGTAAAGTACCTTCACAATGTTCTGGTTCAAATGGAACATCAGCCCATGAGTTGACTTAAGTGAGTAAGCTCCAAACCATGCACTTCCTCTTCTTTTTCTTCCATGAACCTTCTCTTTTCTCCTTTGCAGAAAACAGAGTTTGCTGTTGCATCTGACTTCAAAAGAAGAATTGCAACTTATAATCAGATTAGTTTGCATTTTAGACTGGAGGGCAAGTAGACACCATAGTATGCCAGTTTAGCTGTAATGGTAAAATTACAGAAGAACGAATAGCAGAACAAAGGGGATATGGCAAAGTGTTCCCATGGTTGAA